CTATCTTCCCTTATCTATGAAAGACTTTATTCTACTTTCATTCTGCTGTTAACATTGTATTAAAGTAAGATCTTGAAAAAGAAACAAACCAATCAAAGAAGCCCTCATGTAACAAAGTGCTTTCCAGAGTAGGTAATAAGGACCCTGTCTTCAAGCTGCTTCAATAAACTCACTTTTTCACTGTGCTGAAGTTTCTCACAGGACAACTGCTATCTGTGGTCTAAAGGCAGTATGTTGTATATTTGCAATGCAGCAGGATCAGAAATTTTAAAACTTTGCTCTTTTCCTAGTCACTCACAATTGCCTATAACTCCAGTTCCAGGTCATCTAACACCCTCTTCTGACCTCTGTGGGCACCAGACATGCATACAGTTCACATGCATGCATACATTCAGCAGTCATTCACACACACATAAAAGCAAAAAAAGTGACAGATTTGCCCTTCTGATGGAGGCTACTGTAGAGTTCCACAATTGGTCAGATATAGAGAATATACAACTGAGAGATACATAGTCCTAAGTGACACATGTACAGTGGAACTTCTACACCTAAGACTCATGGAACATAGTAGAAAATGGGATAGAGAGAAAACTAGTGCATCCCTCAACTCTCACCAGTGAAGCTTCCTTTCACACCAGAGTGAGGTACACACAGAAAGCCACAACTGGCTGAGTGTTACAGAATAAGAGACTTCAGAGTGTGTGTCCGTGGATAAGACTCCTGTATTAAACCTCATCCACTCACAGTTCAGGAACCATTTGGAAAAGGGGGAGGAAAGGCTGTAAGAACCAGAGTTTGTCCACAAACATAGGGAAGAAGAGGCTTTCGGGTCACTGGACGCTTGCACACGTGAACTTGTGGCAATGATGGTATCAAGCACAAGAACCATGCCAACTCAATCAGACAAGGGCCCTAGAGTGAAGCAAGGGAAATGGACAGCATGATGGCCCTAGTCTGATAACTATTGGAGAATGATTACTGCTAGATGAGGGAGAGTAGGCCTTACCAACGATCTCTGGATAGGCTGACTAGACTCCAGTGGATGAATATTCATGCAAGGACATCTGGGTGCATAAAAATGCTTGACTGGATAGAACTTAAGATGTATGGTGGAATACATGAGGTCAGTTGGGAGTTTAGGGGGAAACAGCAGAGGGAGGGGGTCTAAATTTTTTTAAGAGCTGTTTTATGAAATGTACAAAAGCTCAATAAAAAAATTTAAAAATAGAATAAAGGTCTCTGCTCCTACTGATCCTGCTATCTGTCCTGCATTGCTGGCAATGAACCACCACTCTCAACCTTAAAGTATGCCTCAGTTCTTTCACCGAAATGCAAATGCCAGTTCAACATAGTCCACGATATACACTAATTTTCTCTCATGTGATTTTGTGTGGATATCATAATATTATTTCTTTTTCATTCACTGTACTATAATTTCCCAAGTGTGACTTTTGGAAAGGGAGATGAATTTTGTATGGATTAAGCTTAATTATCATCTTGATGGCTGTAGGGAAGGCACTAAATCTGTAAATAAGATACGAGATCTTTATAGTATTATGTATGTTTGTGTAGTATAATACACAGTTCTGTTTATTTGGGACTTACAAGCAATATGTGTCTATTAAGAAACATTTAAGCTGTTCTTTGTGACACTAATATCTCATTTTGTGTTCACTATTGTAAGGTAAATTTTGGAATTTGTTTCTTCTGTAAATGAGGTATATCCTATAATGTGTTCTAAATAGTCATTGCGTTGTGTGAAAGACTATGATTTTGACATAGTGTTCTTTTACTACCTTTCTGATGTTTGTGATTCATTTCCGTATTGTATGCCCTGATTCCTTAGAAATGCCTTCAGAGGTGATTCTATTGTCACTGCTCTGATGTCATTGTTTGTGTATCCCAGGTTCCTGTGCTCAAAAGCTTACCCCTTGTCCATTAATTTAAAGATACATATTTAGCGTATAGTAAAATTTACATTTGTCTAGACACATGATACACATAGGTTTTTTTTCTCTAGCATCTGTGACCTCTACAGCCATGTGTACTTGACTATGTCTACAGTATCTCATATGAGTTCTCTGACCCTGAGCAAACTTTAATTCCAATTAGACAGCTGTTGATTACCCCCAAGATAAAAGTAGCACTACTGCACCAATAGAAATAGTTCGCTATGCCGGTCATTGTTTGATTATTAGGGTTAAAGCTGGGGTTGGAACATTGATTGTTTTTCTCCATTAGCATCTTGCATCGTATACTCGGATATTATGAGAGCTAGTCTTCAGGAAGAGGCTTTCATATCAGTTCCAGCTCCAACACTCCAAGTCCTGGGTTCAAAGTCTGTCCTTTCTTCAGCAACCTTCAAGTTCGTGGAGGGAAAAGAAGACTCCGAAAATAGCCTGTGTTATTTTGGGAGTGTCT